ATTTATCACCAGAATCATTTATTATTCATTTACACTCTTAAGTCACTCACAAGGAGACATTCTTCCCCGAGTCCTTCATCTTTTTGTTTAGGTAACCAAGATATGGGGAATCCACTTACTTTTCTTCGCCTTTGTTTTAATGGGATACATCCTCTAATTGCTTCCGAAAAGGTGCTTTTTACGTAGCACCTTGTTCTTGTTCTTGTTTGAGAATGCGTTGTGTTATTCTACAGATAGTAATTTAGGTTTTTTTGGTCGTTTTAAAATTTTGCTTCCTGCATTAACACTTTTTCCTTGAAGTCCCTTTTTTCTGTTTGGTCATAATTTTTCAAGTTAGAATCTTTAATTGCCTCAAGATCCTTCATTTTTGAGAGGCACAGGGAGATAATTGGGAGGTCTGTGTGCATGGGTAGGACTTTACAGTGGTGGGCCTCATTACACAACAAAACGTTTTCATTATTATCCCTCCCACCCCCAACATCATACTCTATTCTAAAGCTTTTTCTTTGCCAGTGGGTCAGTTTTTCTAGAAAGGAAGCTTCTGGCTTTATCTGTGGTGGTATGTGCTGGACTATTCAGAGTTCTTAGAGACAAGATCAGGGGCCTAGGTATTTCATTGTTCCTTATTCAGAGTTTCATTTTATCTTCCCACCTGCAATAAGTATCTCACTTGCCATTCTTGCCCCCAGATATTTAGCTGGAAGTTTCACGGAACTCCCTTCTTTATTAATGCTAATTGAATGCAAACAGCAACCCAAAATATCAGCTACCTATAAACAAGTACCATATTGTATGGATCACAAAGTAACATAACAGCATAGTATTAAATATTTGGCATACATTATCTGATGTAATCTTCAAAATGGTACTCTTATCCCCATGTGAATACACTTTAACCAGATTCTACTATAGTAATACTTTTATTAAAATTTCTCTCCTTTTTTGGGGGCGCCTGGGTGGCTCAGTCAGTTAAGCATCTGCCTTTGGCCCAGGTCATGATTTCAGGGCCCTGAGGTTGAGGCCCTCCCCCTGCATCGGGCTCCCTGATCAGCGGAGAGTCTGCTGTGCTCACTCACTCTAATAATCTTTTTTTTAAAAATTTCTCTCCTTTCTATCCTTGCTCCTGGAGACACCTGTGGCACTGAAAAGGTGACTTTTCTGTTAATCGCTGCCCTTTTAGACACTGAAAAATAACTATCACTGAAAGGTGGGAGAAGCATTCAGTTTTCCGCTTGTCAATAATACCAATTTCTCGCAGGTTAGCTACTGATCCTGCCTCTATCCAGGATTTCCACGGCAGATACATACTAGATAGCAAAAGGATGCATTATCGCAGAATGCAAGAGACCTCACTGGGATCATAAGGCAAGAAAGAGGGAATGTAAATGAAGGAAACCTGAGACACTTTAATTCAGGACTCTGAGCTGATATGTCCACTGTTGCCACTTTTTCTAGGACAGCTTCCTTCTATCCCATTAGGAGAACTATGAATAGTACATACAGTATTTTAAAATGTAATCTGGCTAGGGGCGCCTGGGTGGCTCAGTCGTTAAGCGTCTGCCTTCGGCTCAGGTCACGATCCCAGGGTCCTGGGATGGAGCCCCACATCGGGCTCCCTGCTCGGCGGGAAGCCTGCTTCTCCCTCTCCCACTCCCCCTGCTTGTGTTCCCTCTCTCACTCTCTGTCAAAAAATAAATTTAAAAAAAAATGTAATCTGGCTATTCTACATTTCTAAAACTTTTGATCTACTGCGGCATTAGCAGAGTAAAAGTGGTATTCTCCCATGACTGAAATAAAACAGCCACTTTTTAAATGATGTATTAAATCATATACTACATATATTTTAAGGCATCTGATACTGTAGAACTTAGGAATGATTTTGCTCTTAAGACTTTTAGTGTACAGTTCGGTGCAACTTCAGATACATTTGTTAAATTTTTATTTCAGAATAACTGACAATGAAGCTTGTCTTTATAAATTTGAATATAGAAAACAAATTATTCTTTTTTTTTTTTTTAAAGATTCACCTATTTATTTATTCATGAGAGACAGAGAGAGAGAGAGGCAGAGGGAGAAGCAGGCTCCCAAGGAGCAGGGAACCCGATGTGGGACTCGATCCCAGGACCCTGGGATCATGACCTGAGCCGAAGGCAGATGCTTAACCATCTGAGCCACCCAGGCGCCCGAAAACAAATTATTCTAACATATGAACCCTTTGCTTCTTCAAAAATATACAAGTGCAGTTATATTTGGGTAAACAGAATACATTGTCATAAGTTTTCTTTAAAAAAGTACCAGGAATCCAAGGTATTATAATTGTAAAATCTGGTTAAATTTCCTCCAAGTTGGAGATACTAAGTCCCTATCCCATACTTAAAAAAGTCATGTTCATCTAAAACTAATGATGTAATGTATGGGGATTAACATAAGAATTAAAAAAAAAAATTTAAAAAGTCATGTTAATGTGTACCTTGGGTTTTTCATTTTTATTAATCCTCATCAGCTGTGTCTGTTTAGCCCATCCACCATCTGCTGGGTTTTTAATTTCAGTTATTGTATCTCTATTTGATACTTTTTTGTAGTTTTCGTCACTTTAATAATTTTTGTCATTTAAGTCATTGAATATATAAATCAGTTATTTTAAAGTCTGTCTGAAAATTCCAACATGTAGATTATCTGTAGATTTGTTTCTATTGTTTTTTTCTTCCTTTTCTTTTTTTTCCTTCTTTTTCAATCATGAGGTCTTATTTACTGCTATTTCTAATAAATTTTATAGAATTCTGAACATTGAATATGACGAACTGTAGGGAATGTTTGTGGCTCTGGCTCAGGGGTCTGTAAACTGTGCCCCATGGGCCAAATCTTACTTGCCATCTAGTTTTGCCTGGCCTTTGAGCTAAGAAGGTTTGCCATATTTTTAAATGGTTGAAAAATAATTAAAAGAAGAGTATGTGGCAACACATGAAATATAAAATTCAAACCTAAGTCGCCGTAGTTTGGTTGGGACCCAGCCACACTCATTTGTTTATGTACTTTGCCGTAGTTAGGCTGGAACCCAGCCACACTCATTCGTGTGTGTACTGTGTATGTACTGTCTGTGGTTGCTTTGTGCTACAGTAGAAGAGTGGGGCAGTTGCAACAGAGACCTTATGGCCCACAAACCTAAAATATTTATTGTTGCCAACCCCTTACTCTAGATAATGACATCTTTCTCCAAGAGAGGATTTACTGCTGGTAGGCCATTACGTTATCAGGAAGATCACCTTAATTCATTCAGGGATTTAGTTGATTCAAAGCCGGTCTTAACATTTTATGAGGGTTGGTCAATTTCTGGCTCACCTTTACTCCTAGGGTATAGTTTCCCAGGGGTTCCAACTAAACGTCCGGTGTATTTACCCAGGTTCTCATTCCTTGATGGGCCCCCAGTACTTCAACCACAACTCCCCTTCTCTCTGAGACTGTGGCTCTTCAAATCCCACCTTAGTATGTTCATACTAGTAACCTTTGTTTAGATAGATACATAAAGAAGATCAATTTAAAGGAATGAAGGAATTACTAAAGCAGCAAGGACCTGAAGAGCTATGGTCCAGAGAGCAGGAAAGCTGTAAAGGATGACCCAACACTGAGGAGCGTGCATGCATGCATGAGTGCGTGTGTGTTTACTTTCCAGCTTTTCTAGTTCTTATAGGGAGTTTGTTCTGCTAGAAACTAGACGGACATTATCAGAAATAGAGGTTCAAGGTGGTCACATCACTTCCCTACTCCAGATTCTCCAGTGGCTTTATAATACCATTTAGGACAAACCAAGTCCTGGTAGTTACTTCCTAGGCCTTACACAATCTGAATGACTACTGAAATGAGATGAAACACATTTAGGCCTGAAGAGGCACAGAGGGAAGAAAGCACAGAGTTGTACCACTAGGGCACTAAGGCATATACTCACGCCAATGAGAGTTGTTTACATTTAAACTTTTTTTCCCTATTTTATTTTTAATTGAGATAATTACAGAAAATGTATGTTTTCAAGTGTTCAGTTTTGATAAATGTATTACCTATGTACCAATACCTTGTTCAAGATCTAAAGCATTTCCATCACCCTAGAAATTTCCCTCCTTGCTTATTCCAGTTAATCTTCCCTCTACAGAAGCAATCACTTTGATATTTGTATCTTTATAGATCATATTAATTTTTTAGGTTGCAAATCATATCACTACCATGCTGGTTACAACACGGCCATAAGTCTTTGGATGGTGTTAATGTATTTTCATCGTTCATATTTCACCTACTTTTCTGGATCTCAGATTCTTGGTGTTTTAAGACAAAGTCTGCTTTTTTTTTTTTTTTTAAGATTTTATTTATTTGACAGAGAGAAAGACAGCACAAGTAGGCAGAGCTGCAGGCAGAGGGAGAGGGAGAAGCAGGCTCTCCGCTGAGCAGGGAGCCAGACGTGGGGCTCGATCCCAGGACCCTGGGATGACGACCTGAGCCGAAGGCAGATGCTTAACCGACTGAGCCACCCAGGCGCCCCCAAAATCTGCTTTGTAAAATTTAACTTTTATAAACCTCTGCTAGAAATCAAACCTCTTCAAAGAAGAAGCGCATCTTTTTTATTCTCTTTTTAGCATTTGGAATATGTAGCATAGGATCTAAGCCAAATAAAAGTGTTCAAGAAATGCTTACTAGCTGTTTTTATTTTATTCAATATTCGCTAAATATTCATTATGGATGAAAGGTGTATCAATCAGAAATATCTGTACTGCATATCATTACAGGAAAATATATTTTATGAATTTTCTAAAATGGGAAAATTTACAAATGTATTTTAATCATTAAAAAAAAATAACTTGTCGGGGCGCCTGGGTGGCTCAGTTGGTTAAGCGACTGCCTTCGGCTCAGGTCATGATCCTGGAGTCCCTGGATCGAGTCCCGCATCGGGCTCCCTGCTAGGCAGGGAGTCTGTTTCTCCCTCGGACCCTCCCCCCTCTCTCTCATTCTCTCTCTCTCAAATAAATAAAAATAAAATCTTTAAAAAAAAAAAAAAAAAACTTGTCTAGCTCATAGCCTCTTTAATGAATAGAAGCTAGGCTAACACAAATGGTTATATGTTATGATTGGGTACTACAAGTAACCTGGGCTTGGGAATACTATTGTACTATACTAAACTATTTAAAAATTAATTTCTAGAATCCCAACCCTTATATTTCCATGGCAAGTCACATACATTATTTCAATCCTCCATAGCCTTTGGGAATAGGCAAGGGTGCGTAGTATTCTCAACTTGCAGTTAAGGAAAAGATCCAACAAATAATCGAATTACACAAAATCCCCTTTCCATTAACCAGTGATGCCAGGGCTAGATTATTACTCTTTTGTTCATTTCACTATCCTAGGCTGCACGTACACAAGGGACGGGCCAACTTGTATTCCAGAATTCAATTTCCGTGTTTCTTCTCTGAAAATTCACAGGTTACCCATTCCTTCCATCCTCCAGCATAGTGTTGAGCACTGAAAACATATAGCAAAGTTAGTGCTGTAAACATTTCCTCCTGCTTTATAACACAAGGTTGATAGGAACTTTAGAGATTAGAGGTGCAATGACTACTCTAGACTTTAAACCTACTTAAAAGACTGTTACTTTTGAGTAGGATGAAAATATAGTCTCTTAGTCTCTAACCTGCTATTACTAACACAGTAATTACAAATTTTTCAATCAACCAGTAAACATATAATACATATGAAACATTGCTATACGCATTCTTGAATACATTTTTATAATTCATCTATGCACCTGTTAAAGCCCAGAGATATGGCCATGTCCAAAGCCTTCTTGCTTCTCACTCCGGCTAAACAAGAAAACACTAGACTGTCAGATTTGGATGGTTTTACTTCATTGTACTTCTCTTTGAAGTCTTTTGGGTTCATCTGTAGAGCTTCACCTACCTCATGCACTGAAAGAAAATGTTAAGAATTTTAATTAAATTTTAGATACAGTAAATTACTGAATATATACTTTTGTGATGAAGCAATTCAAGTCACATGTCACTTACGTGGTATATTGACAGACCCAGGAATTTTTCCATACTCGACAATTTCCCATGTCTCTCTAACATCAATTAACATAATTTTTTTGGAATTCAAGAGGTTCTTAAGTTCCTTATAAGTGACATCTTTAAAAATAGCAGTACAAAAATTGTGGCAGCTTCCTTTTATTGACTTCAAACCTGGAAAGAATAAAATAATTTAGGCACCTTCAAAGTAACATTGCTATTAACATCTGGAAAGCAGGTCAAAGGAATTTCCCCCTGGTTCCAGCCAGCTAGCTATAGTTGATCTTTTGACTTCACTGACCTGTGTATGTATTTTGTACACAGCCTGACAGAGCCACGGGGTGTACCCCTCCCCTCTTGCCCTGCATGCTTAAGGGCTGGCCTTGTGCCAGCTCCATATTCTACTCTCTCCAAGCCCTTAATTGGATGGGGCTTGTATATACACATTCAGCATTTGGTAACTGAATTCTGCAAATAATTTGTAAGTCTAACCATAATCCAAGTTACAATGTTAAGAAAATTTTAATTTCTGGGGAGCCTGGGTGGCTCAGTCGTTAAGCGTCTGCCTTCGGCTTAGGTCATGATCCCAGAGTTCTGGGATCGAGCCCCGCATCGGGCTCCCTGCTGCGCAGGAAGTCTGCTTCTCCCTCTCCCACTCCCCCTGCTTGTTTTCCCTCTCTTGCTGTGTCTCTGTCAAATAAAATCTTTAAAAAAAAAAAAAGAAAGAAAATTTTAATTTCCCCTTGCAAGCAAAGATAATAAGCCATATGTTAGATGTGGGAAACTTACATGTGAAACTACACTTGTAAGTACTTAAAGGCACTATTTCTATCTGTTAAATAATTGGTGAGGCGCCTGGCTGGCTCCATCAGAAGAGCATGGGGCTCTCGATCTTGGGGTTGTGAGTTCAGGCCCTATGTTGGGTGTAGAGATTACTTAAATAAAAGCTTAAATAATTGGTAACATAATACAGTACTGGGTAAGAACCTGTAAAATAGATTCAGGGTCCACACTGATATAAGGATATAATTGAATAAGTGGGGAGAAGGGATTATTTCAATTGATAAATGTAAAATGAATGATGAAAAGAGAAAATCACCATTAGGTTAACATCGAGTAATAATTATTTCAGCAAGAGCCATTGACAGATGCTAGAGTTAGTGGGTGAAATTTTGATGAGAAATAGGATAGTATCTCCCCAGGAGATACTTACTCCCCAGGAGATGCTTACTAAATAAGAAAAGGAAACACCTGAAACATACCACTTTAGCCAATTATTCAAAGATCACTTCACTAAAAAAAAAAAAATCACCTAGTAATGAGAAATGTCGACAACATGTACTCTCTGATATGATGCTCAAAGAAGAGCACATCACTTCCTTAGTATTTTTGCCAAAATGCATACCCTAAATCAAATCAGAGGAAAATCTCAAACTCAATCTACAAAATAATCAGTACTCTTAAAAAAGTGTCAACGTTATGAAAGACAGAGACTATGGAACTGTCACAGATTGAAGCACACTGAGGAGCCATGACAATGTAATAACAACATAGAATCCTGGATTGGCTCTGGGACTATAAAGACCGCAGTAGGAAAACTGGTGAAATTCAAATAAGGCCTGTGGATTAGTTAACAGTATTATGTCGGTATTACTTTCCTGATTTCAATAATTGTACCATGTGAGATGCTTACATTAGGGGAAGTTGAGTAAGAATAAAGGGAACTCCATTTTACTTCTGCAACTTTTCTACAGGTCCAAATTGTTTTTTAAGCATGAAAGAAAACCCAAAAAATTTTTTAAATAAAATAAAAATTTTAAAAATTTAATAATCATATTTCACAACAAAATGACCACTATAAGGTAAATAATGCTTCAAATGTTTAAAATATTAAATATCTTATAAAGTAAAATTGGTTTAAACAGTATAAACTAGCATAGGAAAATGTTTAAAGATCTAAGTCCAGAAACACACACGCAATATACCATCTATGAGAATTCAGTATTTGGTAACAGTTATATTTCAGACTAATGGGGAAATTTTGTTCAACGAATATGTAGGGCAACTAGCTAGCCATCAGGGAGAAACTTTAAGCAGGCTATTGTCTCGTTCCTTACATGTAAATAAATTTAAATTTCAGTCTAAAAACTAGTATCTTAGAAGTACCAATAGAAAACATGAGCAGATAATTTAAACCTTGGGATAAGAAGACCATTATAAACATGGCAAAATCAGAAGTCATAAAGTTTTGACCTCATAAAAATGCTAAATTTATATATGGGAAAAGAACAATGAATAATTAGAAGATAAGTGGCAGGCAGGAACAAAATATTTGTAACATAGAAAAGACAAAACATTAAAAAAATAAAAAATAAAAAAATTAAAAAAAAAAAAGATGTTGATGAAAAAAAAAAAAGAAAAGACAAAACATTAATAGAGCTCATACAAATAGGATAAGGACAAAATTACCAAAGAAAAATGGTCAAAACACGAACAGGGAATTGACCTGAAAAATACCAATGGTCAATAAAATGTAAAAAGATGCCCTATCTCACTACTTATTAAGGAAATGCAAGATATAAACAAAATTTTTCAAATTTTGTCAGATTTGTAAAAATTAAAAGGATTGATAACATCAAATATTGGTGAGGGTATGAGGAAATGGGTACTCTTACATTGTTGCGAGTGTGTAACATTAAAATCTTTTGAAAGGAAAATTTAGCAGGAATGACACTTTATGTAGGCATATCTTTTTTACCTCACAATTTTACTTTTAGGAACCTATCTTAGTACAGGAGTATTAGCATGAATACATACAAATGTATATATGTATAAATATATTCATTGGCAGCATTCTCTGTAATACTGAAAAGTGGCAAGAAGCTGGAAGTCTATCCATAAGGGAATGGTTATAAGTGGTACATTTATACAATGGCATATTATTTAGTGTAAGTTCTCCAAAATATAGTACTAAATTTAAAAAACTAGTTGGAGAGCACAAGGTATAAACTAGGAGTTCCCAGACTTTCTTGGTTCATCCTTTCATGTCTTAGTAAATTTTCTGCAGTGCGCATAGGCCAAAAGAAATGCTTCACGGTCCTATTTATTAAGTAGTTAAGCAAAGCCAAAAGTGAGTTGTGAAAAACCAGCTTTTCTTGTAAAAACCAAACACTGTTCTATTTTCATTTGTCTTTCTCACTGATAGCAAAAGATGGAAAAATGGATAAATACAATAGTTTAAAAAATACAGATTTCCCTGCAATTCTACTCCAAGGTATGTACCCCAAAAATTTGAAAACAGGGTCTCAAATTCAGACACCAATGCTCATAGAAGCATTATTCACAATTACTCACAATAGCCAAAAGGTGGAAACAACCCAAGTGTTCATTCAACAGAGGAGTGGATAAACAAAATGTGGCTTATACATACAATGGAATATTATTCCACCATAAAAAGGAATGAAGTTCTAACACATACTACAGCATGAAATTACAACATTGAAAAAACGCTCAGTGAAGTAAGCCAGACACAAAATGACAAGTATTTTATGATTCCACTTATATGAAATATATAGAATAGGTAAGTTCATAGGAAGTAGGTTAGAGGTTACCAGAAGTTGGAGGGAGGGCTGTTATTGCTCAATGGGTTTGAGTTTCTGTTTGGGGTGATGAAAATTTTTGGAAATACAGTGGTAATGACCCCACAATGTTGTGAATATAATTAATGCCACCGAACTGTACATTCAAAGATGGCTAAAATGGCAAATTTTATGTTACATATATTTTATCACAGTAAATACATTAAAAAAAATAAAAATACAGATTTTCCCATCCTCTTCAGATTTTGAAAAATTGGCCCATGTTATCTACAAGATTCGATCTTAAAATGCCTGGGATAAAATTTCTCACTCAACTTGCTGTTTTGTGAATTCCCAGAAGACGAAAAGTCAGCAGGCTGAGTTCACACTTGGTACTATCCCTCATTGTTAGGAACTGGAAAACTATGGTAATTTAAAAAATTGTTAAACTCAAGACAGTGGTGGTACCTCACCACTGGGAAACAAAAATCATCTCGGCATGTAACCTGTGTAACTGAATCAAAGAAAGTTATGTTTTTCTCATATAGTAGAGTCAAACTGACATTTAACTTTCTCTATACTCCTGTTGGGGGTTGTGGGGTGGGGGGGAGATGGAGAATAGGTGTATAACCAGTGAGGACTAGATTTCCTAGCTTTCCACTCTGAGCTAAAGCACAACTACTCCCTTAATGAGTCTCAACTGCCCCAAGCCTCTCATGGTATGAGGTCCAGTCCACACTAATTCTTTAGTTAAAGCTATAGTGTATTTTTTTGTACAGCAAGGCCTCTACTTGTAAATCAACCATTTCATCTATTGCTTGATCAAAGAAACAACAATCAGTTCCTACACTGAAGGAAAACTGGCTGTTGGGGATTTACTGAGATGATGTGGGGTTCTCTTGAGGGATTCTCAAGAGTAACACAGGTATACGTGATTTTCACATTTTTGAGCCTCATTTTTGAATAAACTCCAATTTTGCTGTTTCCACACTGGTAAATCTAGCCTCACCTGTGTATTACCTACAGCCTACATAATAAGATACAGTCCGAACTTCTTAGTATGCTCTATCATGTCCTTCAATCTACTTTACCAGCATAATTTACCAGACCTCCTCATCCCCACTCCTCCTCTCCCTCAATAACCCTACCCTCCAGCTACATTAAAAGTATACAAGTGCTCTGACTACATTTTTACAGTGGAAAGAGCAGGGATTTTAGAGTCAGATAAACCAGGTTCAAATCCTGGCTTGTTTGTCCACTTAGCTCTGTAATCCTGGGCAGATTACTTAAACTCCCTGGGACTTAGTTTCTTATTTATAAAACAGGAATAATATTTTAACCTTTCTGAGTTGCTGTGAGGTTTAAGTAATGTATTTGGTGCAATCTTTAAATATATATTTTTGCCTTCCTTCATGATTTATGCACACTGAAGGGAAAACCTTCCTTCCTCATCTCTATCTGGCACACTCCCTTGAAGACTCTGTTAAATGCCACTTGTCACTAACCCAACAGTTCTAAGTATCTATTCTAGTGAACTACTTGTACATATAAACAAAGAGGTATGTACAATGGTAATTATTGAAGAAATTTTTATAA